TTATAAATTTAAGATGCAGTAAATAAATATGCCATCAGTTTTTTCTAGAATTAGACAGATTAATTATAAAAGTTATGGCTTAAAATGAATATCCAGGAAAACCCTAAAAAAACTAAGAACAATACGTGGAAGGTACCTTCAAGATGGGAAAATGTTGTGAAGCTTCTATAATTAAAGCAGTGTGGTATTGGCTTATGAATAGACTTACAGACCAATAAAGCAGAATGGAAAATACAGAAATATCTCAAGAGCTTATAAAACTTAGTATGTAGTGAAGGCAACAGCTCAAGTCAGCAGGGAAACGAAGGACTGTTTTTTATAAATGGTGATAGAACAACTGGATAGCCATATGGAAAAAGATAAAGTTAGATCCATTCCTCACACCATACACTGGTACAATTTCTAAAAAGATCAGACATTCAGATTTTTAAAAAGCATGCAAACATTATGAAAAGATTAGTGAATTTCTTTATAACCTAAGAGGAAAGAAAGCATTTATAATGATGATTAAAATATGAGAAATAATAAAAAATTAAAACCTTTAAAAATTTTGTATCTAAAGGAAAGTCAAAAGGCAAATCACAAAATAGGGAGGAAATATATGCAACTTATATCTCAGACAAAAAACTAATATAGTCAATATACAGTTCTCCTAAAAATTGGGAAAATCAAAATCCAGCAGAAAAGTGGGAGAAAGTTGTAAAAAGATCATCCATATAAGAAGTAACACCAACAGCTATTAAATACCTGAAAACATCTCCAATGTTTCTATTTATAAGAGAAATACAAATTATAACAATGCTTAAAGACTATTTTGCACATATCAGGTTGGAAAATTTGAAAAATTCTGAGCATATACTATGTTACAGAGACTACAGGAAAGTGAGTCCTCCATTTATTGCTGAGGGGAAAGTAAATGTCAGTTCTCCCCCAAAAGACCCACAGATTGAATACAATCCCAATCAAAATTAAGATCTTCTGTAAGAATGAAAAGGAAAACCATGGACCATTTAGAAATCTTACGTTAGCATAAGACTAGAATTCAAAATATATAAAGAACCTTGACATCTCAATGAGAAAAAATAAATAAGCTACTTTTTCTTAAATGGGGCAAAAAGTTAGACAGACATTTCACAAAAGAAGACAGGTGGATGACACATGGCCAAATGAAAAGATGCTCATCATCATTTAGTCACTAGGGAATTGCAAACTGAAACCACATTGAGATACCATGACACACCTATTAAAAATCTTTTCAATTAAAAAGTGGGCCATACCAAGTATGGTGAGGAAGTGCAGAATTGAAAATCTTAAACACTACTCCTGAGAGTGTAAAATGGCACAACCACTTTGGAAAACTGTTTGGCAAGTTTTTGAAAAATTAAACATATACCTGACATACCTCACTCTTCCACTCCTGTGTATTACTCAAGAAAGATGAAAGATTATGTCCATACAAAGACATACACATGGATGTTCACAAGAATTTTGTTTGTAGTAGCCCCAAAACTGGAAACAACCCAAATAGCTATCAACAGGGAAAACAAACAAATGGTGGTAGTGTATCCATATATACTACTAGTAGTAGCAGTGGTAGTTAGCAGTATAGTCACTCACTCAGTGACTCACTACTCAACAACAAAAAATAATGAATTATTACTAGATGTAACAACATGGAAGAATCTCATAATACTTAAACCAAGTGGCATAAACCAGACAAAAATGAACACATACTGTACAATTACACTTTTAGAAAATCTTGGGAATGAAAATGAAAGAAAGAAAACAGATCAGTGGTTACCTAGAAAGAATGGGGGGAATGGAAGAGTTCCCAAAGGGACAAGACTGTGGTGATGGTTTCATGAGTGTAGACATATGTCAAAATGTATCAGAACTACATTTTAAACATTTGTTTAAATTGTGTGCTAAGTTAATTTGTTTAAATTGTATGCTAATTATAGCTTCTTAAAACCCCTTTTAAAGCATAAAAAATAAATACATGTTTACTGAACTGAAAATACTTATAATACTGCACTTTCATGCCCCAAGTGCTCCACCCCTGCAAAGCATCAATCAAATAGAAGCAGAGATAGTGTGAGCATAGGGTAGAGCCAGAAGATCAAGGGACCCAAAATGGTGGCAGGGACAAACCCACCAGGGGTTTGTTACGTCTTCTTTCTCACTCATACCCCTTTGCATTCCTCTTCCTCTGGCCTCAGGAAGAACAGTAAAGTAACTCTTAAATAAGACACAGCACTAACCATTAGACACAAAGCTGATAAATCAAACCATGAAAAATAAGAACATCTGCAATCAAAAGATACCATTAAGAATAAGCGAGACATAGTCTGAGAGAAGATAGATTATATAGAGATATGGAGGTACAGGCAGACCTAAAGATATGTTTATATGTACATATACATGTATACTACCTGTATATACACATATGTTATACATGCATTTACATATATAAGCACACATTCAAATATATGGGCTTGTATGTAGAGTTTTTAAAATTCTTTAAAGTAATAAGAAAATAACTAAAAATTCTGATTTTCAAGTGGGAAAAATACTTGAATAATTACTTTGCAGAAGATATCCAAATAGCCAATAAAAATAGCAAAAGGGGCTCAACCTCATTACCCATCAGGAAAATGAAAACTACAAGTAAAAGGCATTCTGCTACAAAACCTGAAAGGATAAATAAAAATGCTGAGTACTAATGAGGATGTAGAGAAACTGGAACTTTTGGACATTGTTGATAGCAGCGTAAACAGTTTTACTGGAAAGGAGAAAGAGAAAACTTTCTAACGTGGATGGAAAAGTTTTAGATCTTGAATAAGGTTGTGGTTACATATACATATGCAAAAGTTCAATGAGTTATACACATGATTTGTGCACTTTACTATATGAAAGTTAATTACAAAAATTTTTGTGAAGGTTTCTGTTTTCTTTCATTAACTCCTTTGTATTGCATACCCCAATATACCAACCCCATTCCTAAATTCTAGGTCTCCTGAATTCAAAGAGCTATTCAATCTCATCTAAAGTACAGTCCTCCTCTGTATGTTTATTCTTCTCATTGCAGCAACACTGGCCAGAATCAAAGGGCAAAACTAAGTTTTATCCAAACTTCCCTTATTTCCTAATACAATAACTTTCCGAAAGGGAAAATGTATAAGTAAAAATATTTCCCTAGCACTTCACTTTTCATTATTCTCAAAGATATTTTACCACTAATGAGTTTAGTGAATTTAAACCAAATTTTTTTTCTTTTTTGAATTTTTTATATAAATCTATATTTTCCATTAATAATACTGTGTATTTATAAAATTTTTCCTGAGATCAATATATCTTTCCCATACGCCAGGCTTCCCAGAAGGCACTAGTGGTAAAGATCTTGCCTGCCAGTGCATGAGACTTAAGACATTTGGGTTCGATCCCAATTTGATCCAATCTTCTGGATCCAAAAGATTCCCTGGAGGAGGAAATGGCAGCCCATTCCAGTATTCTTGCCTGGAGAATCCCATGGACAGAGGAGCCTGGCAGGTTACAGTCTATGAGGTTGCAAAGAATCAGACATGACTGAAGCAACATAGTGCACGCAGGGGCTCACACACACTCACACACACACGTTTTCCATTCAATAATACTGTGGTTTTGAAAATTTATCCTGAAATCAACATCTCTTCCCCATTTGCCTCATCATTAGAATGTGATGGCAATCAGCAGTGCCTGAAAATGCAATAGCAATTGCCTCTTCTAAAAAGGAGGAAAGTAGCTTGGTGCTGCCCTGATAACTAAATGTGTACCCACAGCCATCTACTTCTCTGTCCCATCCTCCAGACAATAGAAATATTACAAGAAATGAAGAAATAAAATACAAGCCACCTGTATAATTGTAAACTTTCTGGTAGATAGTTATGTTAAAAAACTAAACAGATAAATTCATTTTAATTGCATTTTTATTCAACATAGTAGATCAAAAGTGTCAATTCAGAATGTAGTCAATATAAAAGACAATCAATGAGGTATTTTACATTAGTTTTCATATTAATTATTCAAAGCTCCAGTGTGTATTTTACACTTACACCATGCCTCAATTTGGATGATCACATTTCAAGTACTGGATACTGTATATGGCTAGTGGCTATTGTATTGGATAGTACAGCTCCCAGTTAACTCAGACTACAGCCAAGGTACCCCTTGAAATGAAACTCCAAATTCTGGCCCATGAGTGTTGAAATACCTCCACCCTACATCTTTATACCCCATCAAATTATATTTCTCTCACCTGGAAGTTCTAATTCACTAAACTTTGTCCCTAGAGCTCCAACTACCAAGTCAGAGGTGCCCATCTTGCATTTATCTGAAATCTAACATACTTCCCACTCACACACTACAAAATTCATCAGAACTGATCTTGTCATTTTGCCAAGACCAACTCAACAAAATCTTTCACCTCCTACTCTCTTACAAAATGTGATATATTAAAATTATCCTGTGAGAAGTAGCATGAAATTACTGTGAACATATTCATAAGTTAGATGTGCTAGGTCAACAAACATGCGAAGTAGAATATTCCAAGAAAGACATTAGGCAAGAAAACATGGCATAATGAAAACAAACTAGGTTGGGATTCAAGCCAAGATTTCAGTCTCAGCTGTGGCACCAGGTAGTTCTATATTCTTGGGTAACATACATTTCTGAGTCTCCAAAGTGCGATGTATTATACACTGGCACTGGATTAAATGATTCCAAAGTCCCACTCAAAATTGAATAGTCTATAATATAGCAACTACTTCTGTAAAATAAAGAAAGAAGAGGGGAAATGAGGGTGAGGGAGGATGAATCCACTTGGAAAAAAGTTTAATCTCCTTTATATATTGGACAGAATGGAAGCACTGGAACTTGAAGTCCACACCAAATAACAACAACAATAATAACAAACATTCCAATAGAAAAATATTGGATCCTTTTTCTCAATTTCTAATATTTCTTCAAGACAATGTTATTCTGTCCAAGGTTTTCTTGAGGGCAAATTTGACATCCTTATTCCTCAAGCTATAGATTAATGGATTGAACATGGGCACCACAATGGTATAGAACAAGGAGGACACTTTTCCCTGATCAAGAGGTAAAATAGAAGGTGGTTTGAGGTACATAAAAGCTCCTGACCCAAAGAAAAGAGAAACTGCAAGTATGTGGGAACTGCAAGTACTGAAAGCCTTGGACCTTCCCTTAGTGGAGCTAATGTGGAAAATGCTAGAAAGAATAAAACCATAAGAGATAAAAATGGCAACAATGGGCACCCCAATGCCAATAGTCACAACAATAAAGACTACCAGCAAATTTACATAAGAGCTGTTACAGGAGAGTTCAAGGAGGGGAATGATGTCACACATATAGTGATTGACAAGGTTGTCACCACAGAAAGTCAGATATACTATATTTCCTGTATGGGCCATAGCCCCAAACACTCCCATCCCATAGACCCCCAACAAAAGGAGTAAACACACCCGAGGAGACATGGTGACCGTGTACACCAGTGGCTTACAGATGGCGACATAGCGGTCATATGCCATTGCTGACAGGATGAAGGATTCAGAAAAGACAAAGAAACAGAAGAAAAAGAGCTGAGTCATACACCCTGCATAGGAAATGAAGTTCTTCTCTGAGATGAAACTTGTCAGCATTTTAGGGACGATGGCAGTAGAGAAACTAAAATCTATGAAGGACAAGTTGAAGAGGAAAAAGTACATGGGAATATGAAGGTGAGAATTCAGTCCAATCAAGGTTATCAAGCCCAGGTTGCCCACTACGGTGACCATGTAGAAACACAGAAACAGGAAGAAGAGGGGGATCCGGAGTTCTGGCTGATCTGTTAAGCCTGCGAGGATGAATTCTGTCACAGAGGAGGTGTTCCATTCAGCCATTATCCTCTAGGAGGATCTGTGAGGGGAAAAGATTTGTTCAGAGAAAGAGGAAAAAAATCCATCTTGAGAATAGTATTTCAACTGAGAGATTTTTGAACTTCAGGAGGATGGCATTTCTTCATACCTACTCTGTTTTCATGGTCCCCAAGTGCCATGAACCACCCTAGTAACTGTCTGTGGGTGAAATTTGCTTTCAGAGTAAAGGCTGATACAACCAAAGAGAGCCCATGAACTCATCCGGCCACCTTTTCCTGTACCCCTTCTGTGCACTTCCTCCCCTCCACAGCCCTTGGTCAAGTATGTAAGACCTGGGGCCCTTCTCTAGGGTTGCTCTGGAGACATGGAAGCTATTCTACCCTGCCTAGACCTTCCACCTTGGGTCTCAAACTGAACAGAGCAAGATGATGAGGTCATGTGCCCAGGGTCTTTGGTTGGAATAGCTGTGAAATGATTATGTGATGACAATAATAATGATGGTTTCCCAGGTGGCTCAGTGGTAAAGAATCCACCTATCAGTGCAGGAGACACAGAAGACACGGATTCCGTCTCTGGGTCAGGAACATCCCCTGGAGCAGGAAATGGCAATACACTCCAATATTCTTGCCTGGAAAATTCCATGGACAGAGGAGCCTGGTGGACTGCAGTCCAGGGGTTGCAAAGAGTCAGACACGACTGAGCATGCACACACACATTAATAATAATGGAGTCATAATGCAAAGTTATATCGATAAACTTTAAGAAAAAGAAAAGGAGCACTTACAGGGCTCTAACTGTGGGACAGGTATTGTTCTAAATGCTGTGTAGCATTATAGTTATCTCCATGTAACAGATGAAGACACTGAACTCAAGTGACTTGCACAAATCCCAGTTGTAACAGAAGGTGAACTCAGGTGGTCTGGCTCAGAGCATGATCTTATAACCTCTCTGCCACAGGACAGACCAGGTCAGGCAGACACCCACTCACCCTTCAGTTTGGAGTCATAGTTCTGTGCTCTGCCAGCTCTCATCTATCTCTTTCATGCGACTCAAATGCCCTGGTGAAAAGAAAGTGAAAATTCAGAGTTCAGATGCTTCTGCTTCTGCTTCTCAACTTTAAGGATCAAAACCTCTAGTTTATCTTGCTTATTTTGCTGAGCAGAAGAACATGTTCTCTGACTGTGGTTTTGCCCTGAGNTTTCATGGCATCAATCACCATCTGCGGTGATTTTGGAGCCCCAAGAAATAAAGTCTGACGCTGTTCCCACTGTTTCCCCATCTATAACAACCTATTAATAGGCTAGACCTATTAATCTTCACTTTAAAGGTGAAATGGGCACACAGCTTGTAGGTTTCAGAATCTTAACACAAACTCTGGTCTCTCCAACTCCAAACTTCACAGGAGCCAAGGACATTGTGCTTATTGTATGTTACTGACAGGAACCAATTTGTCTCTAGACATCAGGCTTGGCTACTGTAAATTGTACACATTCTCAAACAGTTTTCAGGAAGGAATTTCATTCAAATAGAGACTAAAGAGGCAAGTTGTACTGTGCATCTCTTCCCGGTAGCTTTTATATACTAAGGATGACAGGTTTAATGGCCAAGAACTAAATCTTGGTATGGGGAAACTTGAGATTTGGCATGCCAGTGGCTTAGAGAAGTTTTGGTTCTGGGATAATAGCAGAAGTTCTCTTACAAAAGTTATGAAATCAAAGCACAAAGGCAAAAGTCTGTCTTCCTCCAGGCAAGTCTAACTAAAAGCAGTGCACCCAGGCCAGTGTGTGGTTATGAGTTTGTGCACATACATCAGTGAGGACCTGCTCACCCTCAGCTAAGACTTAGCAATAATGGTGCTTTATCTTTCTGATATGCATTTAGAATTTTCCACATCCCAGAGTAACCCTAACAAATCTCAATCCCACTACACAAAAGTTGAAAATGAAGAAAGATAATTCATTAAAATGAAATTAAAATAGGCTCTCCTTGAGATCCAAGTGCAAAGAAGATATGGGGTGGGGGGAGTTTCTCAGAACACTCTAAGGGGATTTGTTATTTCAGAGACATTTGCCATGGCAACCTGATTCCCAAATGTATCTTAAGCAGAACTCCTCTGAAGCTATGTTACCTGATGCTTCAGTACAAGCAGAAAGTAAAATCAGAAAGAAAAAAGAAAAGGCCACTTTGTTTTTCTATTTGTATAGTACTGTCACCTGTCCCAAACCTGAATCTCTGAAAAATGACTTCCTTCTTCTATTTTTTTCTAACTTACAAATTATATATTATACATGAAATATCACAAGGCAGATGAAGATTTACACATGATAAAATGTCTGCAAATATGTCTCATTCATGTGCATTAGCTCTCAGATTTCCGGTTGTTCAATTGGAGTTGTACAAGCAAGGGCCCAAACCAATCCCTACCTCTCATAGAATTGTTTCTTTCATTATGCAGAAGCTCTTAAGTCTGATGTAGTCCCATTTTATTATTTTTGATTTTGTTGTTTATACTTTTAGTGTCATAACCTGAAAAAAATCACTGCAAGAACAATGTCAAGGAAATTCTTCCCTATATTTTCTTCTAGAAGTTTTATGTTATCAGGTCTCATCTTTAAGTTTTTAAAGTTAAAATTAATTTTTGTGAAAGGTGTAAGAGAGTGGGCCAATGTCATTGTTTTGCAGTGTTTATTCAGTTTTCACAGTAACACTTCGTGAAGAGACCATCCTGTCCCTATTGGCTCCCTTACTCACTCACCAATATTAGTTGACTTTGTATGCAAGGGGTTAATCCTGGGCTCCCTTGCGTTGGTCAATATGTCTATTTTTTATGCCAAAACCACACTGTACACACTATCACTTTGTAGTGTATTTTGAAATCAGGAAACAATCAGGAAATTATTCTTTCTCAAGATTTCTTTGGCTACTTGAGGTCTTTTGGTGTTTCCATAGAAATTTTAGAATTTTTTTCTATCTATGTGAAGAATGCCATTATAATTTTGACAGGGCTTCTATTGAATCTGTAGATGACAATAGATGGTATGAATGTCTTAACACTACTAATTCTTCCAACCCATGAACGCAATGGTATATCTTTTCTTTCGTGTCTTGATTCCTTTCAACAGAGTCTTGTAGTTTTCATTATACAGATCTTTCACTTCCTAGGCTAAGCTTATTCCATATATTTTATTGTTTTGATGCTATTGTAAATGGGATAGTTTTATTTCTTTNTTTGTCTGATATATATATGACTATCCCTGGTTTCTTATGGTTTCCACTTGCTTGAGCATCTACTTCCACCCTTTCCCTTTGAGCCTATGTGTGTCTTTAGAGCAGAAATGAGTGTTCTATAAGCAGCATATAGTAGGGTTTTAGTTTTTATCCGTGGTTACCAAAAAAACTACATAAAATGTCTCATAGATAAAGCAATCTACTTTATGCTGATAGAAACTTATCTTCATTCCCCAAAGACTTCACCCTTTTACTTCTCCTCTGCTGACAAGGATGCTGGTATTGCTACTGCCAAAAGTTCAGTCCCTCGCAGAGTTGCTCTAGGGACTATACCCACCTTGATGAGCTCCTTCCTTGCCTCTGCCTCAAAAATCATCTTTATCTCACATCAGTGGCTTCCAGTATCTCCTGTCTGGCAGGCTATGGTGTCATCAGACATTTTCACAATATGCTTTACAGAAGAAGAAAATGGAGTAATACATTTTAGATACTAAAAAAATTAAACATGAATGATGATTAATTTTGATTCAGCCAATCTGATTTCAAATATAAAAGGTGCAGATGAACTACCATTAACTGATAAAAACTCAGGGGATCTTGTTACAATGGACAAATTTTACTAAACAGACATGCATAGCATTAAGTACTATTTTTTACCTTTAAATCTAAGAAGGGTCATTGCCAGGGGTTGGGTATGGGGAAAATGAGGGTATAAATTTTCAATTATAAGATGAATAAGTTCTGGGGATCATATGTACACCATAGTGCCTATAGTTAATAATATTGAATTGCACACTAAAAATTTGCTAATAAAATAGATTTTAAGTGCCCTCAGCACAAACAAAGGTAACTATGTGAGATAATGTTTATTGGCTTGACTGTGGTAATCATTTCACAATATATATGTATGTCAAATCATCACATTGTACACCTAAAAACTCACATGTACTTAAATGTATATAGTCTTTGTCATTCATATCTCAATAAAACTGGAAAAAATAAAAAACAGAAAAACTAAGCAAGGTTAATTACCAAAACATATGAAAGTTTATTCTAGTTCAATGAAAAAAGCAGTTAACTAAAATTTTTAAAGTTTCATTTACCACTACAATACTGTAATTAGCCTCCAATTAAAATAAGTAGATTTATATTTAAAAATTTTTTAATAAAGTTTCATTTTTACTAAATTCGGTGAATTTGTTTATGGAGAAATGCCCCTAAAAAGATATAAAATAAAATCTTTGCATAATAAAGACCGTAAATATAGTTCATTATATGTAAAGATGAAAACTAATGATGAATATTAACCAGGATGGTAGGGACTGATGGCAGAGGCAATGATGTTGGTGAAGGTGATGAAGATGGTAATGACTGAGTGGCGATGGTAAATGATGATGAATCTAAAAGTGTCTTAGTGTTGACATTAAGCACCAAACTTTCCAGGCTACAGGTAACTCTCCCATTAGAAGAAAAATTAACACACCTGGGAGGTAAAACATCTTTCATAGTGCAAATGGGAACCCAGACTAATTGCTCATTCAGCAAGGACCCAGTCCCTGGAGCAACTGCATTCCAGGAGAGTCCACCTGTATAAACACACTCGGTGCTCCCAATTCTAGTGACCCATCTCTATGACTTTGTTAGTCCCTTTGACTGGAAATAGATGTAAAAACTTTAGCTTTCTATTTTCTGATTTTTATTTCTTGATCGCTGAAAACAAAGTACCTCCTAAGAATTTCAGGTAACAGTGTTCCAGTTTTCCTCAACACAGGTATTCAATTATAGTTTTAAGGCAA